GACGTCTAAGGAAGCATGGGACATCTTGGAAAATGTCTATAAAGGTGCTGACCGAGTAAAGCAGGTCCGACTTCAAACTCTACGTGGCGAGTTGGAAGGCATGAAGATGAAAGATTCAGAGGGTGTATCCGAGTTCATCACCCGAGTTCAAGCCGTGGTGAATCAGTTAAAGCAGAATGGTGAGCAGATATCTGATACTAGAGTTGTTGAGAAGATTCTGAGGTCGCTGACCGACGACTTCGAAAATGTGGTATGTGCAATTGAGGAGTCGAAGGACTTCTACGCTTTCTGTTGAAGAGCTAGCAGGTTCCCTTGAGGCGCATGAGCAGCGCAAGAAGAAGAAAAAGGAGGAGTCGCTGGAGCAAGCACTCCAGACAAAAGCAACCATTAAAGATGAGAAGGCGCTCTATTCTCAAAATGTCCGAGGTAGAGGTCGTGGACGAGCTGGACGTGGAAATGGCCGAGGTGGTCGTGGCCGAGGTCATGAGGTGAGAAATGAAGAAAGAGCTGAGTCGAGTCAGAGAGGAAGAGGACGTGGCCGAGGTGGAAGAGGCCGGTGGTCAAATCAAACAAATGTGGAATGTTACAAGTGTGGCAAGTATGGCCATTACTCGAGAGATTGCAACTCGGACAAGTGTTACAACTGTGGCCGAGTTGGGCATTTCGCTAAGGATTGCCGAGATGAAAGAAAAGTTGACGAGGCTTCAAACCTCGCTGTAGAAGGAGATGGAGGAGTTCTTATGCTAGCCCATGGTGAAACCAGTTCAAAGAATGAGACGGAGTGGTATTTGGATACCGGTGCCAGTAATCACATGTGTGGTTACAAACACTTGTTTAAGGAGTTGAAGACGGTGGAAGCCGGACATGTCTCTTTTGGAGACGCGTCCAAAATTGAAGTAAAGGGTCGAGGTACGATCTGTTTCTTGCAAAAGGATGGACGAGTTGGTACAATCCGGGACGTGTATTACGTGCCCGAGCTCAAAAGTAACATATTGAGCATTGGACAGCTGATGGAGAAGGGTTACTCGGTTCTAATGACAGACCGAGTTCTACTGTTGAAAGACAAACAAGGGCGTCTGATAGCCCGAGTTCAGATGGAAAAGAACAGAATGTACAAGCTGAGTCTAAGGAGCATGGAGGTCGGCTGTCTTCAAGCCGGGGTAGAAGATAAGATGGACTTGTGGCATAGACGGTTTGGACACCTTCATTATGGTGGTCTGACCGAGATGATGAAGAAGGACATGGTAGTGGGACTACCGAAGATTAATTCTGAAGGAAGATTTTGCGAGGACTGCGTATTGGGAAAACATGCGAGAAGCCCGTTCCAAAGGATGGCAAGATACCGAGCTAGGCAGCCTCTGGAGTTGATACATACCGACCTGTGTGGACCCATTACTCCGGGGTCTTTCAGTGGTAAGAAGTATTTTGTAACCTTTATTGATGATTTCAGTCGAAAGACTTGGGTGTATTTTTTGAAGGAAAAATCCGAGGTGCTAGAGGCATTCAGGAGTTTTAAAACAATGACAGAGAATGGTACTGGAAGATACATCAAGTCGGTCCGCTCAGACCGAGGTGGGGAGTACGTGTCAATAGCTTTCAAGAAGTATTGTGAAGAACATGGGATAAGGCGGTTCCTGACCGCTCCGTACTCGCCCCAGCAAAATGGAGTAGCTGAGAGAAAGAACCGGACTATCCTGGATATGGTCCGATCTATGCTAAAAACGAAGAACATGCCAAAGGAGTTCTGGGGAGAAGCCGTGCAATGTGCCGTGTACGGCAAAACCGATGTCCGCACTCAAGTGTGAATGATAAAACTCCACAAGAAGCATGGAGTGGTCTAAAGCCATCAGTGGCTCATTTCAAGATTTTTGGTAGTGTTGCGTATGCACACATACCAGATCAATTGAGGACAAAGCTAGAAGATAAAAGTAAGAAGTATGTTATTTACAAAAAAAAAAAAAAGTAAGAAGTATGTGTTTATTGGCTATGATGAGAAGACGAAGGGGTACAAGTTGCTGGACCCCGTCAATAAAAAGGTGTTGGTGAGCCGAGATGTAAAAGTGAATGAGGAAGATGGATGGGACTGGAGTAGTCCATCCGGGGTCAATGTGGAACCCGGACTAAAATCAATTGAGGTCGGACAACCTTCGACCCGGATTCCTGAGAATCCGAATGACTCAGATAGTGATGAAGAGCAGAGACAACCGAGATTGAGGAGTCTACAAGATTTGTATGATTCCACCAGTGAAGCACACTTGGTATGTCTATTGGCAGATTCTGAAGAAGTAAGCTTTGAAGAAGCAATCCGAGATGAGAAATGGCAATCAGCCATGGAGGAGGAAATAAAGGCGATAGAAAAGAACAAGACGTGGGAGTTAGCCGAGCTGCCCAGAGGAAGTCGGCCCATTGGTGTGAAATGGGTCTACAAGAAGAAAATGAACGCTAAGGGGGAGATCGAAAGATACAAAGCCCGGCTAGTGGCGAAAGGGTATAGGCAGAAGGCTGGCATTGATTATGACGAGGTGTTCGCACCCGTAGCAAGAATGGAGACAATCAGGCTGTTGATCTCTCAAGCAGCCCAATTCGGATGGCCGATCTATCAGATGGATGTGAAGTCGGCATTCTTAAATGGAGTACTCGAAGAGGAGGTATATCTGGAACAACCTCCGGGATTCATGAAAGCCGGACAAGAAAGAAAAGTGTTGAGACTGAAGAAAGCTTTGTATGGATTGAAGCAGGCCCCAAGAGCCTGGAACACAAGAATTGACAATTACTTCAAGAAGGATGGACTTGAACAATGTCCATATGAACATGCATTATATGTGAAGAAGAAAGGAGGTAAAATTCTACTTGTTGCTCTATATGTTGATGATCTGATTTTCTTGGGTAATGATGAAGGGATGATTCAAGATTTTAAGAAGAAAATGACGAAGGAGTTCGAGATGACGGATCTCGGTCTGATGAGGTATTTTCTTGGTCTGGAGGTCAGACAAGACAAATCCGGGATCTTCGTCTCTCAGGAAGCCTATGCAAAAGGAATTTTAGAGAAGTTTAAAATGACAGACTGCAACCCGGTTTCAACGCCAATGGAACCCGGGTTGAAACTTTCAAAGTATGATGGAGGAGAGAGAGTTGATCCGAGATACTACATCAGTCTAGTTGGAAGTCTGAGGTACTTGACGTGTACGAGGCCGGATCTGTGTCTGAGTGTTGGGATCATAAGTCGATTTATGGAAGACCCGGGGTACACTCACTGGAAGGCGGCTAAGAGAATTCTGAGATATGTGAAGGGAACAATCTCACAAGGACTTCATTACTCGAAGTCGGACAAATACAAGTTGACGGGTTATTCAGACAGTGATTGGTGCGGAGATGTTGATGATAGAAAGAGCACGGCTGGCTATGTGTTTTTCATGGGAAACACGGCTTTCACGTGGGTATCAAAAAAGGAACCCATTGTGACCCTGTCTACATGTGAAGCCGAGTATGTTGCGGCATCTTGGTGTGTTTGCCATGCAATATGGCTAAGGAATTTACTAAGCAAGCTGGAGCAAGGGCAAGTCGGCGCAACCGAAATCCGAGTTGACAACAAGTCTGCGATCGAGTTAGCAAAGAACCCGGTCAATCATGAGAGGAGTAAGCATATTGATGTCAGGTTTCATTTCATCCGAGATCAAGTCAAAGAAGGAAAAGTGGAGCTCACTCATGTTGCAAGCCGAGATCAAGTTGGAGATATTTTTACAAAGCCCCTGCCGACGTTGTTGTTTGAAAATTGCAAGAAGAAGATGGGAATGAAGGATGGTAGAGATATTAAAGTTTAAGGAGGAGTTTTGTTGGGTTTTTTAAACTTTATTTGAATAAAAGAAAATAGAAAATGAAAGGTTTTTTTGGTGAAGAGGTGTGTCTCTTAGGAATTTGTTAGTGGACATTAATGAGTTTAAAGTTTCTAAGAAGTAGTCATTAATGTGTTTAGATTTCCTAAGTTAGTCATTAGTATTTCTAGTTATTTGCTATTGCTTTTAAATAGTACCATGTAAATCATTTGAATGTCAAAATATTGTGAGCGGCAGTGCCAAAAGAGTGAGAAAAAAATGAAGTTACTCCCACAATTCGCTTATTCTTAATAATACAGCGGTTCTATCATAAAATCGTTTAAATGGTATCACATAAATTCAGAGGAGGAGCTGAATTTAAATACAGAATCGCAAATCTCAAAAACTGTTATATTACATTGTATGTGCACACCCACATGTGTTGTCCGTGTTAGCTTTGTTGTTAATATGCCTAGGCATAGTCTGGAGGATCTGGATCATCTAATGTGAAAATTCACATAACCATGTAATATTGAGAATCATAATCATACAAAGGTGGATCAATGATAAAAAAAGAGAAGAGAAAAAAAATGATAAAATAGATAGTTACGAAATCATAACCGTTGATTTACCTTTGTATGATTGTGATCTTCTCACATGACCATATCATGTTTTTTTAACACATTAGAGGATCCATTTCCTAGTCTGGAACTCTGATACTTTTTTTTAGTTTTTTTTTGGGAAAGGTAATTCCGATATTTCTTAACTACTTACTGCAGCTCAGGGGCGAAAAATAATACTTTGCTATATAACATATCTAACTCGATTCTTCTATCAAAAGTATGAAAATAAACAATGAGTTTTTTTTTTTTCTCCAAAAGCTGAAAAAAAGCACTTCTCAAAAAAATTCATTCAAGTTAAAAGCTAAAAAAAATTTCAAAAACCAAATATTTTTTTAAAAATCTAAATAACTTTATCTTTTGTAAAAAATACTTTTAAAATAAACCAGATATAAAGAGTTTTTGTTTTAAAGCCCATCCAAACGGGCCTATAGAAACCACTTTTCAAAATCTTGGAATAACGAGCCACAAAAAAGTGTGTACTAGTACGACAGCCCCTCGAATTGGGGCAATAGATTCATCGACCCGTAGCACGTTATGGGATTAGGGCAGGTGGGCAATAAAGTAATTCCAATATAAAACAGTAGGAGTATCCTTAAATCATTAAAAAAATAAAAATAAAAAGAGTTAGTCAGCAGTAGTTTGTTTTCAGTTCGAACAGTGAGGTGATTTAGCTACAAATGATCGGGTGCACTCTAGCCACACAGCACATCTATTTTCTGAACCACACTACTGCAGACAAAGATAGACACACAATACCAATCCTGTGCAATGCAAGACAAGAACAATAGGCAATTAAAATAAAAACGCCACTTAAGCTGAACCCTCTTCTTTGATCAATTCTTCTTCCTTTGGCTTAGCAGGGGCCTCGGGTGATGGAGAGCACTCCACTCCCATCTCTGCTCTTAAGTCATTGATGCTTTGCTCCAACTCATTTATACGGTTTCCCATATCATCAAGTGCATTGAAGTCAAGAAAAACATTACTTCCACAATATAAGTATTTGGCTAGTCTACAATATCCATCTAATAAAATTGGTAACACTGCCATCCTGCCTTAGCCAATAACATGACACCACATATACACAACGATATACAGATTACACTAAGTCATGAGTCACAAATTGTGCATAACTGCACAGGTGGTTTGCATTGAGTTTACAAGAAAAAGGTCAAGATGCATTCATGCACAGTTGTAATTTACCACCTGTGATATTGTGTTTTCAAGAAATGGTTATATTACATCTCTAACAATGTATACAAGCCATCATGTTATCGGTTTGAGTATTGATATAGCTATTTTTATGGGTATTGTGGACTTACCTGTGAGTTACAAAAACAAACAAATTTACAATCAAATGAAACAATCTGAATTGAAGCCAACATTGATTATGATTTAAAAATCACCTAACCAAACTTAGAAGGTTCCATTAAATTCCTTAACTAAATATCTGAAGTCATTCCTCGCAAGGTTGTTAAGTAACAATAAAGGTTAACAATATGTAAGCCAATTTAGATCTCCTATCATTCTGACAAGACTAACCTCTTTGAATCAAATCTTGTTTCTGTAGAAAAAATCAGAAGCAGGAAATACCACTCTATAAAAAATAAATTTCCTTAAAAAATTTCAGTGTAGGATTAGTTTATTTTACAAACTTGAAGGGCATATGAAAAAGGATATTCTTTGTAACAATGGAGTCGGACATTGTCTGGAACCTACTTTGCTGTAAACAAAAGTCTAGTTAGCAACGGTGAAACATATTCTAAAACTCAGGAATGCATCTCTAAGAATCTAGACAATACAACTCACCATCTGCTGAAGAAGATTTTGCACCTGAAGAGATCAAAAGGGGAACAGACAAAGGTCAGAATTAAATAGCAGAAATTAGAACAATCATGAATTTAAAAACAAAATACACCAAATTTACATTAGAATTGAAATGTAAAACCAGTGGAATCGAAGATCCAAGTAAGTAAATAGCAGAATTGACATGAACACATGCAACAAGAGAACAAAAAATAAATAAATAAATAAATAAATAATTCATGAAAAATGAGAACAACTTACAAAAGCTGTCATATCAGCAGGGCTTTGCTTTGGGTCTTGTGAATCATGACCGTCCTGTCATCATGAAGGAAACCAATTAGAAAATGCAGGGATAATATGCATTGTCACTCCTCACTTAACGAAAGATTAATTGGTGAACATTGAACAAGATCAAACTCCAAATCCCCCAATTCGGAAAACCCTAATTCCGTAAATATGCAGACTCCGATTCATGAATCAGAAAAAGAAACCTAACCATGAGATGATCAATTAGTGCAGCTGCAAATTGCTCAGTTCCACAGATTTTCAAAACGAAATGAAATTGCGAGTCAGAAGTGAATTGAGATCCGTTTAAATTTAATCTGTGTTGTGTTGTGTTGCGATCCCATGTGCTAAAGGTGTAATTACAAAAGTGCCATTTCGCTTTTTGAAGTCTTGTGTTGTTGAATATTTATTTGTTATTGGCTGTTTTGGTTTGGATCTGGATCTCACCAATTAAGCGCCATTCTTTTCAAAAAAAATAAAATAAAATTTAATGAATTGAATATCCAATTGTGAGGAGTTCATGGTCTGATTGATTGTATTTTGGTTTCTTTGTTTTTAAAACTGTTTTGTAGAATAATTATGAAAATAGTTGTTTTCTATGTTTTTTTTGTTTTGAAAGTTAAAAATCAAAACAGAAAAAAAAACAACTTAGACATGTTCTCTAGATTTGATTCTAAAAACAAAAAAATAGTTACAATTTTTAAAAAAAAATTTACAAAATAAGCCTTACTAAACGAGTTTTTTGGTTCTGAAAACTAAAAAACTATTTTTAAAAATAGTAATCAAACAAAGTCCATGATTCTACTAGTTGTGTTTTGCATTTGCGCCACTTTGGCCTCAGACAATGCACAAAATTTTCGGAGAAAAGATTCTTTCCTTTCGTTTTTTTGATTAGGCCCATTATCAAACTCATAATATCTTAAATAATTGGGCTAGACCCATCTCCATCTTTAACTTAGGCCTACTGTATGATCCAATCTCCATGAACATGTATGTGTTACTAACTCACTTGTTAAAAACTTAAAATGATAGAAGTAATAGGTTTTATATGCATAACCTGGTTTTATGTCCGGTGCTTTGACTAGTTAACCCAACAAATAATGCTATCATGGACTACCTCACTAACAAATTATTTGTTATAACCGAATCATAATAGTCCAATAAAATGTCAATGTCCTCAACTTCTCTTAGCTGTACAGCAAAACTTACCCTTGAAAAAAGGACCTTGTCCTCAAGGTGGGAAAAAAATGAAATATCCTCCTGGGTCCTAAGAAAAACAATCTAAGCATTCGTCCTGACAACATAGACAACATGCAGTAGAAAAGGGGCATCACGTAGTGGAATAGAGGTCGCTATTTGCCCAGGCTTGACAACATGTAATGGAACAGAGGCCATAGGTAGTACTTGAGGATGGTGACAATGTGGTCTCTTGAAGTTGAGAACCTATGGTCATCACAAACTCATTGAATTGCTGCATTTGAGCATCTAGTAAAGCAAGTTGATGTTGCAATTTGTCAAAACACCTATGCATTTCTAAGCAATTAAGCAAAAGGATATAAGCTTTTTGGCAAGCTCCTGCACCTTATAGAGATATGAAGTTCAAAATGAAAGCAACAATGTTATATTCTTAAAAGTTCTTGAACTTTTAAGGGTGTTCTTCCCTTGGGACAAAGATGTCCAGCCCAATAGGCTGGTATGTTTTTTTTGGATCTAGTGCCCTCTCCAAGGTATCTATAGAGGAGATATCCTTGAGTCAAGCAGATCACTGTGCACAGAATACTATAATAGCGTTAGCCAATGGGGTGTGTGTGCGCAGAGGCGGATCTACTTGCATTAGAAGGGGGGCAAGTGCCCACCCTTAAAATATAATGCAAAAATATAAAAATACTTTTCTCCTAAAATTTAAATTTTCTCAATTTAATTGAGAGTAGTATATTGTAACAACCAATTAGGGTTACTACTAATCAATTTCACCGTTATATCGATGATGTTGATCCAACGGTTATATTTATTTCTATCTTTGTATAATTATGATTCCCCATATTTAAAAAATAATATTCTCATCGAATGCAAAAAGTATCGCGTATAATAGGTACGAGACTCGGTCCCGCGTGAAGATGGGATTAGGTAAGTCGCGCTTCAGAAGGATGCGAGTCTCAATTTTATTATTTCCGTTTCACGTTTCTTGCAAATTTTTTACCCTTTTTATCTTGTGTTACTGAAATCTGTATTCGACAGTGAAAACTTGGAGTATGTCCAATGTCCATGGTAACAGCACGAGGACTACCAACAAAAAATGATTGAGTCCGAAAACTAATGAAAAGTGACATTTTCCGAAAAAAAATTTAGTCAATACTGGACAATGGGTCCACCGTGTAGACGCAGATTTCTATTTTTAAGCTCTAGATATCATATGTTAAATAAAAGGACCCGAAAAGAATATAGTGAAATCCATGAAAAGTATTAATAAATACTTTATATTTATTAATACTTTAGTGTAATGATTCCCCATATTTCTTGGAAATCGTCCAAACAGACTTGCATTGCAAGGTCAACCATGGAAGCAGAATTTATTGCTTTAAATAAAGCCGATGAAGAAGTCGAATAGCTTCGTAATTTTATTGAGGATGTTCCTAATTGGTCAAAACTGGTACCAGCCGTATGCATACACTGTGATAGCCAAGTAGAAAGGCCAAGAACGTCATGTATAATGGTAAGTCTCGACATATACGTCGTAGACATGATACCGTAAGACAACTACTCTCTAATGGAATCATTACAATTGACTATGCTAAGTCTAAAGAGAACATAGCAGATCCGTTAACCAAAGGGATTCCTAGAAAATTGGTTGACAATTTGTCGAAAGTAATGGGTTTAAGGCCTATCAATTATTAATCATTGCGGTAACTCTACCTAGATGAGTGGATATCCCACGAACTAGGTTCAAAGAGACAACTAAGTGATGTTTGAATGTCAAGACACTGTGCATTTTTTAAACTCATACTCATTCCTATGACAATACAGTGTATTTATGAGGGTAAGCATTTAGGCTTTTAATGATTTCTTAATCTGTTGTGTTCAGATGATGTATAGTGAGTTACATCACAAGAAATCACCTATGTGAGTGTAAAGTGAGGGCCGCTTCTATGAGAAATTTTCAAAGGCCGATTCTATAGAACACTCGCAGAACCAGGTAGGTGTCCCACGGCCAAAATGAGCACAGCAAAGGACCAACAATGCTAGAGAAGCAATTGTGTGACTCCTATTGTCTAGGTATACACTAAAGGTCGACGGTTCCAGTCGCCCAGACCACCGATTGACCGAGTATATTCGATAGGTTTTCACTAGAGAAGGTTCAAAGGTAACTCTACCTATCTCGATGCAGTTGTTTCTCGTTGAGGAAATTACACTTTGCATTTATATTCACCATGAATTGACTTCTTATCCATGTGGGGGATTGTTGGAATTTACATATAAATTGTGAAGACAATCTATTGGTTATGAATAAGAAGTGAGTTAAGGAAAAAAAGAGAAAAGGGAAGTTGAAGGGTTGTGTGGGTTTAAGAAGTCTCACATTGGACAACTAGTAGGAGGTGAGAGAGTTTATAAGCTCTCACCTCACACTCCTAAATTGGCCCCTGGGTGATTACACATTTTGTAGAGGAGCTAGATGGGCTTAGGCCCACCACATGCGCGCGCTGCCGCCGTCCTTCCGGCCCGGATCGGAAAGTTAAATAAAAATAATTTTTTATTAAATAATTTTTTAATTTTTTGTCCAAAATACCCTTGTGACATCCGTTGCTTCCCTCCAATATTTTTCCAAAATCCAAACGTCTCTACCCACTGGTTTTTTGAGCGTTTTGAACCGAACTGATTCTTATCTTTCACGAACCGGTCACCGGTTGTACCTGTTCACCGAATCGGTCACCGGTCATACCCGTTCGCAGCCGTCAGACACGGCGGTTCGTCGTCGTTGACGGTTCATCGTGTCCGGTCAGTATCTATAAATAGACCATGACCCCCCCCCCCAGAAAAATTATTCGATTTTTGCACTGAAACTCTGCTGGATTTTTTCTTCCTTCCGGTTTGCATATTTTCGTTCATCCTCTGGTGTAATCCCTCTGGCATATTGTTGTGTTTGTTTGGACCGTTGACTGGTAGTGTCATCACTCTTCAGACAAAATTCCTTCTATCATGGGAGACAAGTGTCCATCAACCTTTGGCATCAGTAAGGGGGCAAATTGTCTTAAGCAGACACATTCTGTGGGCTCGGATTTATTCCTATACTATTCTGCATACATTGATCATTATGTCTCATTATCTGACATCAAGTAGGTCTGTTCTAATTTTTCTTATTCTACTGTGTTTGATAATTCTGATCATTTATCTCTTCTGCTATATACACGGGTTCACACCTCTTAGTAATTTAATATCACCCACTGTCTTCAAATAACAGTTAAACCCCCTAAAACAATGTTAATTACTATAAACTATAAATTCTTTGTAAACAACCAGCTTAATTATAACTTACATTTTAGTAAACATTGCTTGTATCAAATTGAGAGGCCGGTTTCGCTTCTTCATTAGTTTGGAGACAGACGAAATCATAAAATATAGACTAACAAAATTGATACAAATACTAGTGTCATTATTGTCTTTTACTTTATAGATTATTTTCCTTTTTAAAAGTAATTACATTTGATTCGTTTTAATTTTTAAGGAGTCAAATTATTAAAACTATTTTAAATAAAATAACTATTGGATGTCCATAACTCTAAAATAATATGATTGTTGGATATTTATTCCCAAATTATAACCAGAAATATAATTCTAGTCATTTATCCTATTGTAATATACCTTTGTGAGACATATACAAAGTTTCAAGACACACCACTAATACATGAAGAATATATTCCTCTGTCTCTCTTATTTCTATATTTTTTTTAATTATATTTTATTTCATAACACACGTTATGAGGGGACAGTGACCAAAATGCCACGCTTTGGGCAAAAAATTATCAGAATGCTACGCGAATAGTAAAATTTTCCAAACTGCCACACGGCATAATTCCCTACACAGTGTAGCGAATTATGCTGCGTGACAGTTTGACAAAATTTACTGTTGGCGTGACTGTCTGGTAATTTTTTTATCCAAACGTGACAAAATGGTCACTGTTCCCGTTACGAGCATAATACTTTTCTACCATATGCACCGCGTTATAAAATCTCTCTTTTTGTTGTTCTCTCTCTTCAATGGGCGAAATCTGCTTACAACCGGAGGACTCTGACGTCTTGCAACAACCACGCACGATTGCTCTCTCCGCCACCGATCTAGACGACAATCGTTCCGACACCACCGAAGCTCTATCCTATACAGTGGCGGACCCAGGATATTATGTTTATGTCCGCACAATTAGTGGCGGGGGTTCGGGGGCAGCGCCCCCGAAAAAATTTTTGTAAAGAAAGTTTAAATCAATGCTTTATGTACAAGGTTATGAACTCGCTCATAATCTAGTTGCTTCTATAACAAGCTACAGGCAATAGTTTGACCAATCATTCCCCCTAAATGTTACCAATCCTCCAAAACAAATATGAGAATAAACTCCAGTACATCCATACATCATCATTCTATTTATAATGGTGAATAAAAAAGTCAACATTACCCGTACAGAAGGGAAAGCTCTCATCTCTAGAGATTAACTTATTTAAGAATGTCACATCTGCAATCAATCCTCTCTTTTTAAGCCAGAATATAGCATCAAAGCTGAAAGCAAATCGCAATAAAAAAAGTAGTATATGAAACATGAATTAAAGCAAAAATGAATAGAACAACACAATAAAAAATACCAGATAACAACAAAAATAATAGAAGCTAATACCACGTTGGCAGTAGAAGACGACAAAAGCATTCTTCGATTTTTCATTCTTTGAAAATATTGCATTATATCTTCATCATCAATATTATCAAACATATCACGTTCAACATAAGTTAGCATGCATGCGTTAAACCAATCATCACTTATCCGATTGCGCAACTTATCCTTAACAAAAGTCATTGCAGAAAAAACTCGTTCAACACTAGCAGTTGCTACCGGTAGAACGAGTGCCAACTTTATCAACAAATAAACCAATGGATAAACAATATCCTTTCTCTTCTCAACCATCTTCAAAGCAAGGTCAAAAATTCTTTCCAAATTGACAAAATCAGAATCAGCTCTTACATCAACAATAAAATTACCAAGACTTGAAGAAAGAAAAGGAATATCTGCAAGCTCATTAAACTCCAAAGGATAAAATCTAGCAAACTCAATCAACTTTTCTTTGTTAAAACTAGCAAATGAATCACGAGGGTCAAGACAACTCAAACACTCAAGCAACTTCGTATTGACATTATCAAATCGATCACCCAACTCTTGAACCTGAGTATCTATCACTGTATTAAATAACTCCACCTTAAAGTAGTGCAAGAATGTGAATGATTCCAATCTCCGTCTTGATCTTCCTTTAGGATAATAAACATCCTCCATATTTGGAATGTCAATATCATATTTATTTGCAAAAATGTTCGTTTCTTGAAGCAATTCATCAAAACCATTATCTCTCACCTCTTGTAAACGAGACTTGACAACCTTCACTAAACCAATTGCATTTAAAAGGTCTTGATCTTTTCTTTGTAATGCTTGTGACAACTCATAAGAAATCCCCAAGATAAGTTGCATAAGATGCAACAAGAATGCAAACTCATAATCTTCCATGGCATACAAAATGCAACCTGCATCAGTTCTTGCAGCATCATTCCTAGGCTCGTCTTCAATAATTTTCATCAAGGAAATTATTGGAGAAAATAATGAGATAACACTTGTAACTGTACCAAAATGGGAACCCCAACGAGTGTCTCCAGGTCGCTTTATGGTTGTCTCTTGATTTAAACCTTTTCCAGTTGGTATTTCACCGCGAGCAATTCTTTCAACTATATGCTCATATTGATTCATTTGAAGAATTTCCTTCCGCTTGCATGAACCCCCCACAACGGTAGCCATCTTTTGAAGCATGTCAAAAAATTCTTGAATCTTTTTGTGATGTTTTGCAACCTTCACAAGTGCCAATTGTAACTGATGAGCAAAACAATGAATGTATAATGCAGATTTGTTCTCTGCCAAAATCAAACTCTTAAGCCCTTTGAATTCACCCCTCATATTACTAGCACCATCATAGCCTTGACCACGACATTTAGACAAACTTAAACCAAGTTTAGAAAACAGCCCATCAATCGCTGCTTTTAGTGATTTTGCAGTAGTATCTGAAACATGAATTATGCCAATAAAACATTCAACAATGGACCCCTTTCTGTTTACATACCGAAGTACAACTGCCATTTGTTCTTTAATTGCAACATCACGAGCTTCATCAACTAGCAAGGAAAAGTAATCATTGCCGAGATCAGTAATTATTGCTTTAACAGTCAAATCAGCACAAGCTTGAGCAAGATCTTTCTGAATTTTTGGTGAAGTCATTTTGTGATTATCGGGGGCATTTTGCAAGACCACATGACTCATCTCCTTATTTGGCTTAGTATAAAACTTTAGAGTTTCAAGAAATAAACCTTGTTTATTTGAACTTTCAGATTCATCATGTCCCCGAAAAGGCTGACCATTTCGTAGTAAGTATCTAGCACAATCTAAAGAAGCTTTCAGGCGAATACGGTAATCAATTCTTTGTTGTTCAGAAATATTTGAAAAGGCAATATCAATATGTTGGTTTTGCTTCATCAAATCTTGACCAGCTTGATAAGATCTATTGTGAACACTCCTATGATCTCCAACATGAACTTTGATTCTATCCTTCTTCTGCCAATTTTTGAACCCCACACCGACAAATGCCTCCTTCGCTGAACCACTACCTCTAACCTCCATATCAAATAGATAACAATATAAGCAAAAACATGCATCTCGTGATACACTATACTCCAACCAAGAACCAGATTCTTCATACCACTTAGAATTGAATCTACGCATTTTTCCAAACATTTCCGTTTGAGGGAATGGTTTAAGAATTGGTTGAGTTGGACCCTTGAGCAAATAAGCTCTCCGAATATCCTCTCTCTCTATAGGATTTGATGTCATTGAATAAAGTGAAGGTCTTTTTCCTGGATCCGCTTCAAGATTTTCTATATTAATTTTTGCTTCAGGTGGTGATTGAAAACTTTGAAATTGAGATGCTTGTGGTGGTACACTTTGTCTTTGAGATTGAGGAGAATTTTCAACAATTGAAACATTTTGTCTATAAGGTTCATAGGATTCAGGTTCTGTATTTGTGCTATTTTGACGTTTGAAATAAGATTGTATCCCTGACATAATTTTTCCAAGACCTGTGAAGGGTACAGAAAAATAATAGAGAGAATAAGTTAGTACTTTTTTATCCCAAATAAATATTATATGGATTCAAAATTGCAATATGGATTCAAAATTCACTATATCTGCCTGATATGATCAACAGACTTCCAAATGACAGGTCTGGAATATGAAATGGGAACAACTGCAATAATCAAAATATAGTTTAAACTTCAAATATCAAAGAGATATAACATATAAACATTTGATAATGACAGATGACAGATAAATATATATTTGATAAAAGTCCTTTTCCTTACCCAATACTTTATTATCTAATTATTTGAATATTAGGTTGCTCTTACAAACTTTGATACGTATAATAGAGAGAATCCCAAGATTTCAAACTTGGTGTTAAAAAGCCGTTTCTTATTAATTAAATAACCAAAAGGCTGGGGACTATGAGGCTTTCATTTATATTTTTGTTGAGGCAAATGTTTGTGGAAAACTTTTATGCTTAAAGGAAATGCTTTTCTCAAATTCACAACTAGTGGGGAACTTTATTCACATTCTGTTCTAAGAATAAATTGAGTAATTAGCTCATTATAATATGATTGAACCAAACTATTTAGATGTGAACAATGATGTATATTTAGATTGAACCAAGCTATATTTATAGATTTTATCTAACCGACTTTTCCTAATATATATTATAATATTTAAACTTCTACCACTTTCTTCAATTTTCCACAGCCTTCTTTTACTTCTTGCTTTTCAAAATTGTCTTCTCTTCTTTTTTGTTTCTTTGACTAATTTATATTATTTAACCAACTTCTACAACTTTCTACCAATCTGTTGCCAATTTCCGTGTTTTTCTGGTAGATGGTAGATAGCTTTTATAGCTTCTTCATTTTTCTAGACTAACAATAGGAAAAAATTGATTTCCAACAATTAGGACTCAAATGAAATGAAAGCTCACAGAGCCATAAAGTTATAAAATGGCAATGACAAAAGAACCAAGAACTACACAACAAAAGAACTAAGAACTACACAGCAACAAAAAAAACAACAAAAAAATTAATGAGGTGGAGCTTGCCTCAAAAGCCAAATCTGCTTGCCTCAAAAAAATTAGAGTTTTGATGTGCTTGCCCTCAAATCTGCGCTCAAGCTGCGCTGAATGGAAGGAAAGATGCTGAATGGAAGCCAAATCTGCGCTCAAATCCGCTTGCCCTCTTTTGCAGAAAGAAAAATGAGTGAGAGCGTAGGGTGAGAGAGGCTTGCCCTCTTTTGCAGAAAGAAAAATGAGTGACAGAGGTACGGTGAGAGGCTTAGCTGTGAGAGAAAGTATAAAAAAAAAAAAAAAAAAAAAAAATTTACAAATTTCCTGTGTCCGCACGTGCGGTCATTTGACCCAACGTGGGTCCGCGCCTGATCCTATGCCCACTTTCGAGCCCCCTTGACTACGGGTTTAATTCAACTTTCTTCTTTTTTTGATATTATTATACGGGTTATAGTTGAAATCATAAAGTGGAAATGTTATCTTTATGGTAGAGTGTACCCACAAATTTTTCGGTTGGTTAGTGTTCGTTGTCAACTTTCCATTTGATTATTTTACTTTTCTGAATTTCTACATTAGAAAATATTTATGTTACTTAATTATGTGAACAATTTCAATATTAAAAAATAAGTATTGTTGTTTAACGATTATACGTTTTGAATATTTATATATAGTGTTTTACTAAAATTATGATTTGCAATGTGTAATTAATTGTGATATTAAATTTTTTTATTAATTATATTTAATTTCAGTTCACTACTATTGAAATTATGGTGCTTGCTGTTATCATGACTATTTTTTTTTAGTTTTAAGAATGTCATATGTTAGAAGGGAATGAAAAATAAAGACATAAAGATGAGTTGTGAAACTCTCACTAATAACCATTTGTTGTCCGTTTACATAACTTAATAATATGTGCACTGAAAATTGTTGTTACCATTTTTTGTTTCTTAATAATAACAAATTGTCTAAAAATGAGAATTTTGTATATGTATTAGAATATGTGCAATTAATTTTGTGTTAAAAAAAATTAAAAATCATTTGACATCAATCAAATTTAATTTTCGGAATGAATGAGGAACCGTTGGAGCAATTTATGTTTTTTTTTTTAAATGCATTCATGAAGAGAGATATAATACATATTGCATTCATATATGATTGCTATTTACTTAAATGTCATTGGTTTAACCGATTTATTTTCTGTATAATATATTTTATTTTCATATATTCAATAATATTTTTTAATTGAATGCAAATAAAATTAATGATGATATGTAATTAAATGTATTTTTTTTCAATTTTTTCATCAAAATTAATGTCATAATTATTAATTTTATTGTATTTTGATTCTTAATGACTATTTTTTGCCTTTTATTTAAAATTTAACCGTTAATTAAATAACTGTTGCAATTATTTTATATATGATTAAATCTCATAACCATTATAGTTGTGTCATGGTTAAATACTATTCAATAATTTAATACATGAATTTGGGTTGACATGATTACGTGTATGTATTAAATAATATAATAATGATTATTACCGTTGTGGTTTTGTGATTTTTGTAATTGAATGCAATTTAGTTTCTTATGTATTGAAATTATTAATGATTTTATTGTAATTGAACATTATAATTTTGAATTGGCTCCTTTTCTTTTGAATAAAAAAAATACATGTAATAAATTTTTATAATTTTAATTTATTCTGAATGCACATCAAATACAAAATTGTCTATGCAATGACTTTAGGGTGAAAGTTTTTTTAAAGCTTAATATTGTTTTTACAATCTTTTAAAAAGTTGTGAAACAATTTTAGGAATGTAACATAAATTTAATATCCTTTAAAATGATGGTTTTTGTTCGAACTAATTGTTATAGATATAACATTTGAAATGATCATTTGAATCTCCAATATTTTGTCTGTAATAGTTAAATAATTAAATGCTTTATGATTAGCATGAGTCTTGAAATCATTTTATTATTTTATTTTCCAATTGTTATAGTTCTTTAAAGCATTAAATTAATTAGACTTTGAATATCTTTAATTCTCAATTTATAATATAAATTATCTCTATTTTGAATTATTATGAATATTCATTAAATATATACTGTTATTGTAATTTTTTCCATATCTAAATTATTTTATTAATTGCATATATGCAAAATGATTTTAATGCCTCCATATGTTATGTATGTAATAATGTAATCACACATATTGATATGGAGAAAGTCAATTTCAATACAATAATGGACAATATAAAAATTGATTGAAAACTCCTGAAAACTAATATGTGATTACCAATGGGCCCCAAATTAGCTATAAATGATATCACATTGAGACTACAAATGGTGGTAAAATTGACTATTATTACTACAAATGTTGTAGGTAAGAAATGTGTATCGAAAATAAGAATTTCCTGTTTTTCTTCTGATTTTTTTTTTTTTTTTTTGATAACATTTTACTACGCTAATATTAGCATGGTCGGAAAACATGCCTTTTTAAATCAAAAGGATATTGATTATATAGCTTTATTATTTGACCTTCCTGGATCAAATATGATGCGTAATATTATTAAAAATTCATATAATTATACATTGAAGAACCATAAGATTCTTCAATTTGTTGAATTTTCTTGTGTTACTTGTTCTCAAAAGAAATTAACACCTGCTAAAGTTCCTTCATTTTTAAAATGCATACGGGGTAAAATCAAAAGACTCATTCACCCGTCATGTGTACCTTTCAAATATTATGAACTCACATCATGATATTTGTGAGATTGTTTACTCAAATAATAATATTAAGAGCATAATTCCTAGATTATATAATAAAGAAAAACTGTCTTGATAATGTTGGTGATATATATATATATATATATATATATATATATATATATATATATATATATCAGATTTTTAATAATTATTGTATGTTAACTGGAATCAAAGGTGAACAAGCCTGTTGCCAATGATCATACCCGAAATGGTTTAGTAGATTATTTATTAAGCATCTCTAAGTAATAGCTAGATCATTGCTTATGATACCAAAGCTCCCATTTTGACATATAGATATATTATTTTGAGAAAAATACTTCTCAAGCAGCTTGAGATATATTTATCTATGTCCACCCCAAATCTATATCGTTTTGTTTATTTATTTCCTTATATTAATTGATTCACATTCGAATGGTTATGATTCTCTTTCTCTCTCTCTTCATTTATCACCATTGATTCATCTTTGTATGGTTATGATTTAGTAGCCGAAATAAAATTATCTCAAACAACTTGAGAAACGATAAGCCCTATTATTTTATATGCTACATTACTTGTATGCATCATGCCAACAAATTATCATAAAATCTCCCCATTACATTAGCTTATGGTCAAGAGCCAAATATTTGTGATCTTATAATTTTTAGATATGCCATTTACATTCTAATTACTACACCACAACTCACAAAGAAAAATCCCAAATATAGTTGGGATTTGAGAATATATGTTGGATATGAATCTCCTTATATAATATCTTGAAATAATGAATGTAGATTTGGTTAAATCAATATTTGATTATTGTTATCAGTCTTTCTAGCATGAGGGTGAGAGAATAAATAGTTAGAAAAATATAGAATGCACTATCATTATCTTATATAGATCCTTGCACAAAGCAAATATGAGAAAAAGATATTATACATTGACTGTCAGATGATTTCACTGACCAATAAGTCTAATATTCCAACTATAAATGCTCTAATTCATATCGATAAACTACACTTAAAACATAGGAAAATGATTGGTTCCAAGGATAAAAATCCTCAAAAAGAGAAAAAGAGCAAATGATCAAGATGGTCATAATATGGAGACAATTGTTAATCATGAAGACATTACTTTCATTAAACCTTGGGGGAGGTTCAAGTACCTGAAAATAATGAAAATGAAGAGATCACTATTAATTATGTCATTTCACGAAAAAA